AAAAATAACATTGTAGAATATCAGCTGTAATAGGTTATAATAAAAAGCCTTTGGTGAGTGAAAATTTTTCTAGTTCTATTTGTTTGTTCTATATGGTTTGATAATTTTGATGTTGGTGACAAAGCAAGGTGAAGCACATGTATCTTCCTGAATATGCATGAAACAATTACCATTGGAAATTTAACATACTAGACTGTTATCGACACTCGAATTACTCTTAATTAGGCAAGGTAGAAATCAAACATAGTCTGAAACTGGTGAGTGCTTTCAAAAATTTGGAAGAAATATATTGAAAATTGTTAAAAAATATATTAAAATACATAAATTCATGCATCTAGCTAAGTGAACCAACCACCCAGAAGAAAAATTAATCTTCTGCTTTAAATCAATTGTTTAAGTACAAAGAATCATTATTTTGAGTTGCATAGTATTTTGGAATGAAAAAAAATTAATAGATATCAAACTAATATTTATAGATTCAAATATATAAGAAATGTTTTCAAAGTTAAGTTTTTGAGTTTTGGACTTTTTTTCTAATACTATATGCAATAGGTCAACTATATTTGGTGTATGGAAATATTTTATGATGTACATGTCAGTCTCGTAGGTTTTATTTGACCTTGACCTCATTTTCACGATTCATTTCTCAGTGTTAAGTTTTTGTGTTTTGGTCTGTTTTTCTTCAACTATAAGCAATAGATCAACTACATTTGTTGTATGGAAGGATTGTAAGGTGTATATGTCTGTCTGGCAAGTATCATCTGACCTTGACCTCATTTTCATGGTTCATTGGTCAATGTTAAGTTTTCATGGTTAAGTTTGTTTCTTAGATACCATAAGCAATAGGTCAACTATATTTAATGCATAAATTGATTGTAAGTTGTACATGTCTGTCTGGCAAGGTTCATCTGACCTTGACCTCATTTTCATGGTTCATTGGTCAATTTTAAGTTTTTTTGGTTAAGACTGTTTCTTAGAAACTATAAGCAATAGGTCAACTATGTTTGGTTTATTGAAAGATTGTAAGGTGTACATGTATTTCTCGTTTGGTTTATCTGACCTTGACCTCATTTTCTTTGATCATGTTAAGTTTATGTGTTGCTTGTAGTAAAGCTTTATATTTAGGACTATCAACATAAAATCAATGGTTAGTAAAGAAGGCGAGACATTTCAGCGTGTGCACTCTTTTTACCACAAAATACAGATTAAATTGAATTTGGTTGTGTCACCATAACAGTTCTAGATTTATGCCCCTTTATAACATTATATATATGCAAGCAGATATTTTTGGCGTATGGAGACATTCTCTGTTTATTTTATATGTAAAGTAATCAATGTTTTTTTTTTAAATGTTTTTTTCCTTAGATTGAAACTGATCAAGATGACATATGTGAGATTGCAGACCATAACAAATATAGATTACGTCCAAAACAGGTATTTTACTAATAAAAAATTACATAGACTAACATTTTTAGAGGGATGTTTTTAAACAAATTTAAACCAAAAAAAAGTGCCCTTCCACAACCCAACAAATTAGATTTTAATTTCATTAGTTTACATTGAAGGATGAATAATATAAAAAAAAAGAAGATGTGGTGTGATTGCCAATCAGACAACTCTTCACAAGAGACCAAATGACACAGAAATTAACAACTGTAGGTCACCGTAATGCCTTCAACAATGAGCAAAGCCCATACCGCATAGCTACGAAAGGCCCCAAAAGAACAAATGTAAAACAATTCAAAGGAGAAAACTAACAGCCTAATTAATGTATAAATAAATGAACGAAAAACAAATATGTAACACAGCAACAAACGACAACCACTGAATTACAGGCTCCTGACTTGGGACAGGCACATACATACATAATGTGTGGGGTTAAACATGTTAGCAGGATCCCAACCCTCCCCCTAACCTTGGACAATGGTGTAACAGTACAACATAAGAACGAACTATAAAAATCAGTTGAAAAAGGCTTAACTAATCAGATGACTGTCAATGATACAAATCTCCACCAGAGACCAAAATGCAACCTGTTTTAATGTTTTAGCCAGTGTCTACCTTCACCCTAACCTGAGACAGTGGTAGAACAATAGAATATTAAAAGAAACTCTAAAAATATAATTGAAAATGGATAAACTTATCAAATTTGTACAATATATATATACAGAAACAACGAATTACTTTTATTATATTTATGTATATAAAAAAACTATATATAGAATAAAATGGTTCAGTTGAAAACTCGGAAAAGAAACTTATATGTTACAATTTTCAGATTGAAAAGGAAAATATAAAGATTTTAAATGAAGTACTACCAAGCAACACTGAAGATTATGATAGTTTTATTGTAAGTTAATGATTCAAGACAATGTATAAGAAAGCTTGTCAATTAATGATATCTTATAAAGAAAAATATATGAGATATCTTATAAATTATATGAAACATCTAATAAACTATATAAGATATCTTATAAACTATATAAGATATGTTATATACTCTATAAGATATGTTATATACTAGTACTCTATAAGATATGTTATATACTCTATAAGATATGTTATATACTCTATAAGATATGTTATGTACTCTATAAGATATGATATATACTCTATAAGATATGTTATATACTCCATAAGATATCTTATAAACTAGATGAAATATCTTTTAAAGTTAATTACATATCTTAGTTAGAATAAATAGTAAAATGGCTTGCCATAGTTTTAGTCTTGTTAGCAGTCCAATAAGGACAGATTGATAATTTTTTTCCAATTTTCTTTGAACATTTATTCTAAAAAGTAGTACTTATAGATTTAATCCGAGCATACCCAGATATGTAGTTATGAAGGTTTTGGAATAAGAGTTTTAATTTTGGTGTCAATAGCCCACTTGCCAATTAGCATGGAATACCCAAATTTGACTTTAAATTTTACACTTCATACAAAGGGGAGCAACTCTAGCCCCGGACACACTCTGCGATTTCCAACGTTAACTAACCAAATGTAAAAATCATTTTCACTCAACCTGTACGGTTTCAAAACTTCATTTTTGGTGTACATGGTTGAAATAATAGCGACATTTTATCTGTAAATGTGTTTTGTGTAACATATAAATAGATATCACATTACAAGATGCCGTTTTTATAAGGGTTTGTTCAGTTAATCAGGCATCATGTCTGGTGTCACATGATCTAATTTTGGATTGAATTACTTCCCTTAAAGTGGAAATTTTAAAGAACGAAGTCAAATTTGGTAATTGGCAAATAGACTAATGGATAATCAAAATGGGCCTAAGCGAAGTCAAAGTTTACATAGAAACCCTAAGGTATATTAAAATTTATGTATCCTGCAATCTGATTGGTTGACTACCAGGATGTAAATAACACCCCATTCTTGTTTACCCCGGGGATAATTAATAGATATATAATTACACACAGAAATATGAATGAATAAAACTTAATAGATATCCATGATAATTTCAATAATTTGTGTAATTTATTATTACATTTTTAATTTGAAAAATAAGCAGAATATTTTGTTCCAATGCATTGTTTTAGTAACTGACATTTTCAGTAAAAGGGAGGACCGAGGTAAATTATTCATTTATGTTTGCTAAGACAGTAACACAAGTATTTTGTACCTTTAAAAGAAATATATTTGTTATCTTCCAAAATTCTGTAAGCCCCTGACTTCACCAAGATAACTATTAGTATTTTTCTTCATATTTTCTAGGAGCTTCTTGTTTTATTGTCTATTTATGTTTATACATATTATTTCAGAATTCACAAAAGAACTCCCAGACCACAAACTCCCAGACTTTTAATTGGAGTGATTGTAGTGAACTTGCACTGGAGAAAGTTAATGTGGTAATGGAATCAATCAATGTGAGCCCCTTACGTTCTACACTTCAAAAAGATGTTAAAGATGTAAAAGATTCAACAATCAGGTATTACAAGCGGAAAGCACATGAATCTATTGATTCATTGTTGGATTTTATGGCTCCAAAACAAGGACACTTACTTAAAGATGAAGTTTTAACTAAAAACAGAGACAAATCTTTACCAACAGACAGTGACATGATAGAAGATTTATCAAAACTCTACATGGAAACAGTGGACAATTCCTTAAAAATGCAAATTCTATCTGTTATCACAAATAGACTAACCAAAGCAGAACTTCAAATAGCAATACCAGGTATAACAATGTATCGTATAGACCAGGCACGACTTCATTTCAATACCTCTACAAATTTGGGTCTACAAGTCAAAAATAAAATAAAAGTACCACGTCAAAGAAGGGATGATAGCAAGCTGGGACATGCCAAAAGTTTTTTTTTGACACTTCATTTATGCAGCTAGTATCCTATGGTACAAGAGATTTGAAATTGGATTCAGGGGAAAATATTACTATACCAGATGTAATCAGAACAACAAATCACTCCAAAATTATAGACCTGTACTTTTCATACTGCACATAATCAAATTTTGTACCACTTTCTAAATCAACTTTATTTAAAATTCTAAATACTTGTGCTGCTACTAAACGCACCAATTTACACGAATTAGACAATATTGCAGCTGAGGAAATTGAAGGTTTTGAATCACTAAAAGAAATTACAAAACAGATTTATGAAAGATCCATTCTATCAACTGAAGAACATGAACAGATACAAAAAAATATCATATCAGCAAAACTTTATTTCAAAACCGATTAAAAACTTCATCTGGAAAAAGACTGCCTGTGTGCTGACCATTGTCTTCAATGGCTTTTGAGTGACCATGAAAACTGTCATTTTCAAAGTCCCTGTGAGCACATTCATTCATTAGTGTGTGATAGGTGTGAAATGTTACATGGCATAGAGCATGATGTGTTCAAAGGTATTGGTAAGATGGGAGATGATGACTTCAAAGAGGATATCACCAAAAACTTCCAGGATGCATTACAGAAAATCAATGACTGGAAAGCTCATATTGCTAGAAATGTTAATCAAGTTTTTTTTAGAATTCAAAAGCTGGAGAATTTAAAGCGATTTGAAGGAGTTTTAGTGATGGACTGGGCCATAAAATTTCTACCAATGAGATACAGAGAGAAACAAACAGATTGGTTTGGCCAAAGGGGAAAACATTGGCATGTCAGTGTCTGCATTTATAGAGATGAAAGTGGTGAAATTGGGGTAACTAATTTTATGATAATAAAACCTAATTATTATTATTTATCTTTAAAGCAATAAAAAGCATTTGTCTGATTCACTGTACTATATTCTGAAATCAATATGATACACATATCTTTTTAGTATGACTAATGATTTCAACAGAAGTGTAAATTTGGACAATATATTCTTTAAAAGAAAATACTGTAGGATTAAACGCCTTTTTAAAGGAATTTATTGTTGTATAAACTGGACCAATTCACTCACAAACTTATAAAAGTCCGATGTAAAACTTGATTTTAAGGTGGCAAACACTGTAATTGTATGTTAACAAATATTGGATACTAATAAAATGTAACAATTAATTTCAAAAGGTCTTCAATGAAGTGTTCAAAGACAATGGACAATACCAGAACTCATTTTTTACAGTATTTTAAGGACAAACAAGTTTTGGATAGTAAGAATGATATCAGATAAATACATTATTACAATAATTTATTTCAGCATAGGACATTTACTCATGTTCTTGAGAATGTTAAACAAGATTGGTTTGCAGTGGCATCACTGTTGGAACACGTGCTGCAAACAGTTAAAATCCAACTACCGCAGGTGACAGATATGTTTCTTCGCTCTGATAACGCAGGCTGCTACCATTGCGGACATTTATGGATTGCTATTCTTCAAATTAGCAATAGAACAGGTAAGAGATATAATTTGATATTTCCCCACCAACTAATACAGAGCTTAACTGAATGTAAAGTGGAATTTTTATTTTTATACGACCGCAACAAATTTTTGCGGTCATATATTGGTATGACGTTGGCGTCGTCGTTGTCGTCGTCCGAAGACACATTGGTTTTCGCACTCTAACTTTAGTTTAAGTGAATGGATCTCTTTGAAATTTTACCATAAGGTTCAATACCACAAAAGGAAGGTTGGGATTGATTTTGGGGGTTATGGTACCAACAGTTAAGGAATAAGGGGCCAAAAAGTGGCCAAAAATAAGCATTTTCTAGTTTCCAGACAATAACTGTGGAACGGTGTATGGATCTCTCTGAAATTAATCCACAAGTTTCCATACCACAAAGGGATGGTTAGGATTTGCTTTGGGGGGTTATGGCTCAAACCGTTTAGGAATTAGGGGCAAAAAAAGGGGGAAAAACAAAGGTTGTCCTGGTTAATGGACAAATACTTTAGTACAAAACATAATTTAAAGCAGTGTAAGGGAGATAAATCAAATACATCATTTGAATTACCTCCCTTACACTGCTTTTAAATTATGTATAAAGTAATGGTTAATGAACAATTAAGATAATTAAGATAATTTAAAACAGTGTAAGGGAGGTAATCCAAATACAACGTTTTGGTTACTTCCCTTACACTGCTTTTAAATTATGTTTAAAGAAATGCATATTTATAAAGGAAGACCAGTAAAAATATTTGCAAATGTTGCATCTTTTTTTTTTACAAAAAAATCCATATGAAAGATTTGACACCATATTTTAAATTCTTCTATAAAATAGATTAAGTTAGCACTATGGTAAATTTAAATGGGTAATTATGGTTGCAAACTCCATTGGAAATTTGAATTGAAATTATGACCATATCTTGAGGGAAAGAATTTTTTGGGGGAAAAGGGGGGGGGGTAAAAAGAAATTGTCGGGGGTCAATTTTTTCTCATTTCAGATTTCAGAAATTAAAAAGAATTTTTCTTTAAATATTTTTTTTATTTTCAAATTTCAAATATTGAAAAATTTCAAGAAGTAATCTTTAATTGCACAGTATGGCGCATTAGATTTGTAAAATCTTTGACCACATTTATTTGTTTGTTATGCCGAATCTAACCGTGTATTTAGATTTTTAATTTTGGGTCCAGTTTTCAAATTGGTCTACATTAAGGTCCAAAGGGTCCAAAATTAAACTTTGTTTGATTTTAACAAAAATTGAATATATGGGGTTCTTTGATATGCTGAATCTAAACATGTATTTCGATTTTTGATTTTTGGCCCAGTTTTCAAGTTGGTCCAAATTGGGGTCCAAAATTAAACTTTGTTTGATTTCAACAAAAATTGAATATATGGGGTTCTTTGATATGCTGAATCTAACCATGTATTTAGATTTTTTATTTGTGGGCCCCGCTATCAAATTGGTTCATATTGAGGTCAAAAGGGTCCAAAATTAAACTTTGTTTGATTTCATCAAAAATTGAATTATTGGGGTTCTTTGATATGCCAAATCTAACCATGTATTTAGATTTTAATTTTGGATCCCGTTTTTTAAATTGGTCTACATTAAGGTCCGAAGGGTCCAAAATTAAACTTTGTTTGATTTAAACAAAAATTGAATTCTTGGGGTTCTTTGGTATGCTGAATCTAAACATGTGTTTAGGTTTTTGATTATTGGCCCAGTTTTCAAGTTGGTCCAAGTTGGGGTCCAAAATTAAACTTTGTTTGATTTCAACAAAAATTGAATATATGGGGTTCTTTGATATGCTGAATCTAACCATGTATTTTGATTTTGTATATTGGACCATAATAGGTAAATTAAAAAAATTCAAGTTCTTAGACCACATTCTTTCTGTGTCAGAAACCTATGCTGTGTCAAATATTTAATCACAATCAAAATTAAGAGCTGTATCAAGCTTGAATGTTGTGTCCATACCTGCCCAAACTGTTCAGGGTTCGACCTCTGCGGTAGTATCAAGCTGCGCCCAGCGGAGCATTTTATTTTATATTGCAATTATCATTTTAGTCCTACAAGTTCTATATGGAAAAAACAGTGCATCTTAGAAAGAACTGTTATGATAAAAAAACAAAAAAAGTTATGCTATAAGGTCAAATTGCACTACATCACAGTACAAATTTAAAACAATATCTTGATATGCTGCAATCATATGTGCTAAATATAAAAAAGCCTTTGACAGTAGACTTATTCAAAAGATCATAAAATTATCTGAACAAGAAAAAAAGATACAAAAAAATATTTAAGAATACAAACAGAAACTTCAACCTAGTTCAAAGCTATTAAAATAAATAAAATACTTCCAAATATAAGCTTTGGTGATATTTGAACTTTATTATAAAAGTGAATTAATAAGATATTTATAAGCAGTCTCTCTCAAATCTTTGTACATGTTTATTTTGTGATTTTTTGCAGGTATTCAAATAAAGCAATATTCATATTCAGAGGCTCAGGCTGGAAAGTCCTACTGTGACTCAAAAATTGCTCATATGAGAACCAAGATGAGATCCTTTGTGGCAACTGGAAATAACATTTTAAATGCAGATGACATGAAAACTGCAATTGATTATGGAAAAGGTACATTGTGAATTTATTCTATAAACATAAGAAGAAAATACTGTAGTAGAAAATCAAAAAGAAATCTTAAAACAATCAAAAATATTTTATGAGAAACTTTACAAAAGACAAGAATGTCTTAAAAAAGTAAACTTATCAAGGGAATTACCATCTTTGACATCTAAATTAAATGATATCGAAAAAGAATCATTAGAAGGTAACATTTCTTTTACTGAATTAACACAAGCTTTGAAAAGGATGAAAAATAATAAAAGTCCTGGGTCAGATGGTTTTACTGCAGAATTTTTTAAAGTATTTTGGATAGACATTGGAAAGTTTGTCTTGAGGTCAATAAATTATTCATATCAGATAGGGGAAATGTCTGTCACACAGAGGCAGGGAGTTATCACATGTATTCCAAAAGAAGGCAAGTCAAAACAGTTCTTAAAAAATTGGCGTCCAATTACACTTTTGAACTCAACATACAAACTAGCTTCTAGTTGTATAGCTGAGAGGATAAAGTCAGTTCTAAACAGAATTATTGACTCTGATCAAACAGGCTTTATCCCGGGTAGATTTATTGGGGAGAACTGTAGACTTATATATGATATTTTACACTTTACAGAAGAAAATGATATCCCTGGTATATTATTACTCATTGATTTTGAGAAGGCCTTTGACTCTATATCATGGGCCTTTCTCTTTGAAACACTGAAGTATTTTAATTTTGGAGACTCTATTATAAACTGGATAAAAACATTTTATAATGATATTACATCTACTGTCACCCAGAACTGCTGTCTGTCAGACTTTTTCCGTGTGGAGAGAGGCTGTAGACAGGGGGATCCTTTGTCTCCTTACCTTTTCTTGCTATGTGCTGAAATATTAGGCATTTTAGTAAGAGGTAGTGATGAGATAAAGGGTATTACGATAGATGATTCAGAGTATATCTTGTCTCAATATGCAGACGACACATCACTTATTTTAGATGGGTCGCCTTCCTCACTGGATGCATCTCTCCGTATATTACAATTCTATGCTGAGATATCAGGACTGAAAATTAATTTAGACAAAACAAACGTTATATGGATAGGTAGTAAAAGACATAGTCAAGACAAAATATGTGTAAAGTGGGGACTGAAATGGGGTTTCAGTACCTTCAAATTATTAGGTATCACTTTCTGTGTTGATTTAGATAGAATGTTAAATCTAAACTATGCTCCTCGAATACAAGAAATAGAAAAAATATTACAAAAATGGTCAAAACAGTCACTTACCCCGTTTGGTAAAATAACAATTATAAAGTCACTAATTATATCAAAATTAAATCATCTGTTCCTGTCCATCCCAGGTCCAGATGATAATATGATACGTCAACTTAATAGTAAAATTTATTCATTCATTTGGGATGATAAGCCTGACAAGATAAAGCGGGATCTTCTATGCCAAGAATACTTTAGAGGGGGCCTAAAAATGATTAATTTGAGACATTTTATACAAGGGTTAAAACTTACTTGGGTTAGAAGATTATTTAAGTCAAAATCCAAATGGATCCAATTATTTACCTCCACCCAAAATATAAATTTTACAGAGTTGGCTTATTTTGGAATTATTAAAAAATCAAAAAACAAATTTTGGGATGAAGTTTTTCATGCCTGGAAAATTATGTCAAAACTCAGACATCCATTTCATTTTGAGGAAGTCATTTCGACATCTATATGGCATAACGAACATATTAAAATTGATAACGTCAGCGTTTACTATAAAAATTGGTCACATCATGGGGTATGGACTGTAAATGACCTGTTAGATGAACATGGAAATATATTAACATATGAAAATTTTGAAATTATGTATAATTTCAAACCCATGTTTCTACAGTTTTATGGGCTTATATTAGCACTAAAAAAATGGCTACAAGCCATTGGAATCAACACCGAAAGAGAGAAAAAACATCAGGCTATTATACCTTTCAACATTAATATTTTCTTTAAGTCCGAAAAGGGCTCAAAGGACATGTATACTATTTTAAATCAAGGATCTTTACCTATAGATTTTGTAGCAGAAAAAAAATGGGAAGGTATTCTTAATAAAGTTATAGAAAATTGGAAAAAAATACACTTGTGTGTTACCAAGGTTTCAAAAAATACTAGGTTATGTTGGTTTCAATATAGAATTATTCATTATATCTTAGGGACTAATGCTCTACTCTTTAAAATGAAACTTGTTAACTGTAATTTGTGTACATTTTGCAAGGAAGAGCTTGAAACTATAGAACATTTACTTTGGGGTTGTCATATTGTAGCCGACATTTGGCACAATCTAAATTCTTGGATTTTCGATATAGTTCATATAGAAATTCCACTAAATTTGAATATTGTCATTTTTGGCCTCTATGAAAATTATAAATTGAATTTTATTAAAAATAAAGTTATCTTACTGACAAAGTATTTCATTTACAGATGTAAGATGCAAGATATAAAACCTCATATTAAAGGTCTTCAAAATTACATAAAAGAAAACTTGATTTTAGAGAAACATATCTCTTCAAAATATTTAAGTATGGAAGAACACAACTTGTACTGGAACCCCTGGGCTAAGATCATTAATTAAATTTAAATTAGGTTAATGTATATACATATGTGTATATATATGAGTATTTGAAAGAACTTGTATACTGGTAGTTATACCATATGCTTGCTCTACTATTACTATTATTACTATATTAATGAAAATGTTATTACTATACTTCATTCATAGATTTCATAGTGTTAGTCCATAGAATGCTTATCATGCTTATTTATTTCACTTGCTTGATTATTGTACCACAAGATAAATATATGTTGATACCTGTAAATTCACGAAGAAAAATAATAAATTATAAAAAAAAATAAACATAAGAAGATGCGGTATGATTACCATTGAGACATATTTCTATCTAAGACTTAAAGTAGTAAATTTAAGCAATTATAGGTCACAGTGTAGCTTCAAAGTGAAGCCTTGACTCAATAGCAGAGTAAACTATAAAAAAAAAAACAATTATGAAATAAAGCACAAGAGACAATCACTTAATTGACAGTTGACTTATTCAAAAGATTAATAGGTGTACACGAATACATTTTTGTCGAGCCTTCGACTTTAGTCGAAAAAGCGAGACATAGCGATCCTACATTCCGTCGGCGTCGTTGTCGTCGTCGTTGTCGGCGGCGGCGTCCACAAATATTCACTCTGTGGTTAAAGTTTTTGAAATTTTAATAACTTTCTTAAACTATCCTGGATTTCTACCAAACTTGGACAGAAGCTTGTTTATGATCATAAGATAGTATCCAGTAGTAAATTTTGTAAAAATAAAATTCCATTTTTTCCGTATTTTACTTATAAATGGACTTAGTTTTTCTGCCGGGAAATATTACATTCACTCTGTGGTTAAAGTTTTTAAAATTTTAATAACTTTCTTAAACTATCCTGGGTTTTTACCAAACTTGGACAGAAGCTAGTTTATGATCATAAGATAGTATATAGAAGTAAATTTTGTAAAAAAATAAATCCATTTTTTCCTTATTTTACTTTTAAATGGACTCAGATTTTCTGCTAGGAAACAACACATTCACTCTGTGGTTAAAGTTTTTAAAATTTTAATAACTTTCTTATACTATTTTGATTTGTACCAAACTTGGACAGAAGCTTGTTTATGATCATAAGATAGTATATAGAAGTAAATTTTGTTTTCTTCCAGTTAACATTACATTCAGTCTGCAGTTAAAGTTTTAAAACATTTATTAGATTCATAAACTATCCTGGATTTTTACCAAACTTGGACAGAAGCTTCTTACAATCAAAAGATAGTATCAAGAGGAATATTTTTATTGATTTACTTCCTCATTTTTGTTGAGCCTGCAATTAACAGAAAAAGTAGGCGAGACACTGGGTTCCTCGGAACCCTTACGAATTTTTAATTTACCAGCTCTATAAACAAAATCACCTTAAACTATAGTATGTGTTACATAAGTTTCAAAGGTCAAAACATAATCATTGCATCTGTTAAGTTTTTATACGCCCGTCAATTTTTGTCCGTCCGTCTGTCTGTCCGTATGTCTGTCTGGCGTAAACATGTCGCACCGTAACTTGAGAATGACTTATCCAAATTTCATGAAACTTAACATAGTTGTTTCTTATGATGGTCAAACGATCTGTATACTTTTTGGTGAAAATAAGATTAAAACTTTTTGAGTTATGGGACTTTGTAACTAAAACAGGTGTGTGTTTTTTTTCACATGTCGCCCCGTATCTCAAAAACAATTTATGATTATTGCTTAAAACTTTACACACTTCTTAGTTATATTAATCTTAAGATCTGTATACTTTTTGGTGATGATTCAAATTCTTATTTTAGAGATATTGAGTATTTTGTTAAAAAAGGGGGAGGGGTTTTTCACATGTCGCGCCGTATCTCAAAAACAGTTTATGATTATTGCTTAAAACTTTACACACTTCTTAGTTATATTAACCTTAAGATCTGTATACTTTTTGGTGATGATTCAAAATCTTATTTTTAGAGATATTGAGTATTTTGTTAAAAAAGGGGGAGGGGTTTTTCACATGTCCCGCCATATCTCAAAAACGATTAATGATTATTGCTTAAAATTTTACACACTTCTTAGTTATATTAATCTAAAGATCTGTATACTTTTTGGTTTTGATTCAAAATTTTATTTTTGAGATATTGATTTTTTTTTTTAAAGGGGGGTTTTCACATGTCGCGCCGTATCTCAAAAACGATTTATGATTATTGCTTAAAATTTTACACACTTCTTAGTTATATTAATCTTAAGATCTGTATACTTTTTGGTTTTGATTCAAAATTTTATTTTAGAGATATTGAGTTTTTTGTAAAAAAAAAAGGGGGTTTTCGCATGTCACGCCGTATGTCAGAAACTATTTATGCTCATTGCATAAAAATTCACACACAAGACGACGGGCGTATCATGCGCTCATGGCGCAGCTGTTTATTACATAATATTAAGTTCAATTCCCTTTCTTACAGGTGTAGCTGGATGTCAAGTGGCCCATGTTATTGTTGAAACGTCAAAACATGTTCTCAAGACTCATAATTTAAAAAATGTCACACATTTCAACGATGTTCAGTACACAGAATCTGGTGTTGTATTCATAAAAGCTTATGGTATTGGGGATGGGTTGTCAATGACTTATAGTGAGTTAACCAAATTATCAGGCCATTGTCAAAATGAAACTTGATGTACTCTTGTAACAGATTTTGTTCTGCCATCAAAGGTCAAAGGAAAGATCAAGTTAACAAAAGCTAAAAGTAATGCTGTAGAAAATGAAATGAGTACTGAGACCACAACAATAAGACCAGTCAGTTCATCTGCTTTACAGACAACACTCTCCTTTGATTGCCCAGAACCAGGTTGTATTAAGCATTATGCTTCCTACAGAACTCTAGAAAATCATGTTCTATTAGGTACACATGATTTAAGATTAGAAAGAGAATCCGTATATGATATCATTCGCAAGCAATGGACAGAACTCTGCAACAATGTTATTGTTACAAGGAAGACAAATGTTGCCAGCCAATGTACAGATAATCAACAAGCTGTAGAAACCTTTCCTATAGGTTGGGCTTTAAAAAGGGCCAGAAAGGTGAATAGATTTCCTACCCAGATAAAAAACTTCCTTATTAAGAAATTCAATGAAGGAGAGAAAAGTAAAAACAAATGCAGTCCAGATGATGTCGCATCAGAAATGAAATCTATGAGGGATACTGAGGGCAGACGGGTTTTTCAGTTAAATGAATGCTTAAATAGTACTCAAATTACATCTTTCTTCTCTCGATTGGTATCAGCTAATGCAAGTAACAACAACAAAATAGTACCTGAAGATGATGACTTGGTAGCTGCTGCTCTTGCAATAAATCAATCTAAATTATTTGAATCAGTTAACTCTGCAAATCTAACAAATGACTGTTAAAATATAGTGCATATATTCACTTTAAAGCTTGTTATTAAGGTTCCTTAGATCAGTTTCCTTAGAAAGTAATTGGAAAATAAAGTCTTCAGGACTGTGCCCTCATATTAAAATGATATTATTTGTATGCATTTTTTCTTGAGAAGCTGTACCACATACCCTGGGTCCCTGTTGATACAGCTCCTCAGAGATTCTGCTTACTTTGATATCAAATATGCTTTAGATTAAGAACGATTTATGTCACATGTTATTTTATTCAATGTTTGAGAGGAGACAAATGGTAGACAAATTAAAATGCTTTCTATTATGTTCTTAGTCATCTATGTATATTGATGTTCACACAATTTACAGTTCTGGTTTATTTGTTCAAATAAGCTAGATATGTCATAATGAACATTGATAGATGAAAAGCTTTTTTTTTGTTTTTGCAGTCAACTTATTTTAGACATTAGAAGTTTGTTTAAATCACATTTGATTATAAGCCTTAATGTCTATCTGATAAAAATTTAAATTACAATATATTGTCCATTTTTTATCTATTACATTATTTTCTGATTTAATGAAGTTTAAATAACATTATTATGTAGATTTTGTATTGCTGCTTCATAAGCAGGCTAAGTAAGATCAATTTGATTTTGTACTCCTTTAATTGTGAAAATATATGAAAAATACAAAATTCAATTTTATCCATTTATTTTCAATGTATTTATAAGTTTTATGATTTTAAGTGTATAATTTTGATAGAATTTTATCTTTAATAATTTGAAAAATAAAAGAAAGTCAGACTGAAACAGATAACCTACTTGCATTGTCAATTTATCATTTTGAATCATGTAAACTTTCAATAAAAATTATTTCCTCTCTGAAATAGTTCAAGAACAATTTTAATCCTTGATATTGGTCAAGATTGGGAAAAAGCAAAAAAGTGGATTACCTCCCTTTTATTCCATGAATTTACTGATTTTTAGTAAACTTGCACAATTTTTTATTCCTTTTTGAATGAATTAGTTAAAACTTTAATTAGCACAAAAGTATTATAGTTGTACATGAAGAGTTTTGTTAGAATTTTAGTCCTTGATTTTGGTCAAAATTTGAAAAAGCAACAAAATGGATTATCTCCCTTTTATTTCATGAATTTACTTATTTTTTGTAAATTTGCACAAACTTTTGTTTCTTTTTGAATGATTTTCAGTTAAAACTCTTCAATAAGCATAAAAGAATTATAGTTTTACAGGAAGAGTTTTGTTAGAATTTTAGTCCTTTATATTGGTCAAAATTGGAAAAAAGCAACAAAATGGATTACCTCCCTTTTATTTAATGAATTTACTGATTTTTTTTAAACTTGCACACATTATTGTTTCTTTTTGAATGATTTTCAGTTAAAAAAATTTAGTAAGCATAAAAGTATTATAGTTTAACATGAAGAGTTTTGTTAGAATTTTAGTCCTTGATATTGGTCAAAATTGAAAAAAAGCAACAAAATGGATTACCTCCCTTTTTTTTCATGGATTTACTGATTTTTAGTAAACTTGCATAATTTTTTGTTTCTTTTTGAAAGATATTTATTTCTAAAAATTTAATTTGCTTAAAAGTATTACAGTTTTACTTGAAGAGTTTTGTAGAATTTTTATCATTAAATTGGTCAAAATAAGGAAAAACTGAATAATGGATTACCTCCCTTCTTTAGGCATTCATCTATTTGAATCTTGTAAATTTGCACAATTTTTTTTTTATTTCTCGTTTAACTCCAGTAAGTATTCTTTAATTTGTATATACATATTATGATGTTACTTGCGGGGTTTTGTGAAAAATTTTAACTTCAAAATTGGTCAAAAGGAAGAAAATTCCAATATTACGAAAATGGTGTTGTACCCCTTTTTGGTACAGAGGTAACAATGAAAAAATTTTTAAAATATCTCTTTATTTTTTGTTATTGATTGTGTTTAGATTATATCTAAAAATGAATTAATATATCACTGCAATTTGTCTGTTTTTTTTTTTATGTATTGTTTAGGGTTAGGGTTAGGGTTAGGGTTAGGTTAAGGTTAGGGTTAGGGTTAGGGTTAGGGTTAGGGTTAGGGTTAGGGTTTATTAGGATGTAAAATTGAAAAATGGTAATGAAAAATTTCCGGTGTAACATTTTTTCAACGTCGATGTTGCTGCGCATTGTCAAATACCTTTTTTTTGTGTTCTTTTGAATTTTTTGGGAAAATAAAAATTTTAAATATTTTTTTATTTTCAATTTTTGACATTTAATTTTTTTTTTTTTTGACATTGTATATTTTTTTTCTTTAGTATGGCAAAACTTTATTTTTTTTAATTTTTGGCAAAACTTTATTTTTTTTTAATTTTTGGCAAAATTTTATCTATCCCAGGGTGAACAAGGGTGGGGTGTTATCTACACCGGGGTAATTAACCAATCAGATTGCAGTATTTTTGCTGCATGAGAAATAAATATATATATATGTGCTGCAGTGCAAAAATTTTAAAAAATACTGATATTGCATTGAACATTTAAGAACACTAATGCAGTATTAAATAAAGCTTTCACTGTTAATAAAAATTAATTATAATATGAGTAGTATTTAAGTATTAAAGTGTGTTATATTGTTAAAAAAATGTCTGGCACAAAAATAATATCATTTTGATTAATTTTTTGCTGTTAATATTTTTGAATTTGTAAATGTTACTGTCCAATTTTGTCAGTCCTTTAACTTTTCAAGAATGGTTGGTGTATGTTATAACTATGCACCATGTGTAAGCACCATGATACCTATTTTTAATGGACACGAGTTCTGCTCAAGACTTAATTTTGAGGTTTAAAAATTATATATAATAAAGATATCTGGACAATATGATTTCAAACCTTAAGAGGAGTCGCTAGAGGGCGCTGTACTTGAATGTATAGTGTATCCACCAATAAAACCGGTGGGCGTGTTGTTAAATTATTTGTTGTTATACCGGTGCTAATTTACTTGCAAACTGTTTTATCTTCTCTTGTCTTCTGCAGCTCTGTCAACCATCTGTCTAGGATCAAAACTGGATACCACATGGTCTGCTGATGATACACATGCTTCCATCCTCCTATTTTGGAATATTACAATATTTAAATGTATTTATTGGTAAAGCATTAAATGTTGGCATTGTATGTATTTAGGATTTCAAGGTTTTCAGTAGCGAAAGAAACTTCAAGAAGTGACAAGAAGAATATTTTAGCGACAAGAAGACTATTTAGCGACAAGAAAAATGAAAACAAAGTTCTTATCAAAATAACTTCCTAATAAATATATAAAAAAAATATGCATTGAAATGTTTTTTTTTTTAAATTCGAGGCCAGATGTCGATCTGTGTGTAATATATATATATATGATATACATGTATTTATCATATATTTAGTACACAATACAGCAATTTTGTATATCTAATAAAGGTTCTTTTTTCCAGCCTGTATCGCATACCCCGTATCGCATAGCTAAATCTGTATCACATACCTGGCGTGACCTCATAAATCAAATGACGTCAACGTTTGACCTATGACGTCCAGTTGCTGTATTTCCTGGCATAGGAAAAAAGTGAGTTTCCACTCAAGAAATGTCATATCATTTGAACTAAAATCTATATTTTTCCAAAAAAATATTACCCAGTAGAACTTTATAAGCGATTTTTATAAAATAGATACAATAAGTTTTTTTAGTGGGAACTCACTTTTGTCCAATGGCTGTGTATATGGGAATCCCCTGTTTGTCTGTTAATAATCTTTGAATAGATGATACATAGTAACATTGTTGTCCATATTTATGTATACAAATGAGTTCGGATTGTAGTATAATGATTAAACCTAACAACAAATATTGGGAAGGTGGGTTGTATTCTACAGGAGGGAACAGTTGACACTATTGTTAGTGAATGCTTTTAAATACATGGTCTTAAAGTATATTATTTGCCAGTTTCATAGCTCTACATTGAGCATGTAATAAGGTTGTAGGGGACATTACGATGTGGATATTAAGCAAATAAGGAAGTCTATAACAAAAAACTAAGTCACCTGGAAAAATACAGGAAAATCCTTATGTTCTTTTGTTTGTTATATTTTCGGACGATTTAAAAAAAAAACGTATATGACATTAATCTGATTCTGTTTAAATATATGATAAACAGAATAATAAATGACAAAATCCGTATCGCATGCTCCCTCGGGACTGATATTGGTTTCTGGTGGTGATACAGCATGCGATACGGATTTTGCCATGTATTATTTTATATATACTAAATACTGTAATATATGAGGGAAATCTAGAATATTTTTATTATTTTTTTTCATTTTACCAGTGCTAAAGATAAAAATGATTAAGTTAAAACCTTGGCTTGATAATCTTCATTCGTTCCACCTCTACTGGCTCATCGTGTTCCCTCTTTCGTTTCTTCCACTGGCAAGGACCGTCAGTAACAGACTTCTTCTCAAATGCCTCCAACTCGTATAAGCATGCTGTAACATGACGACAAGCTCCATCAGCACTGCAATAGAATTGTATTTAGAGAAAGTTAGTACATGCATACATGTTG